TCCCAATTACATCCATTCTTTCACTAGGAATGGTCATTCATGCCCTGGCCACTTCCTGTTTGGACTGCTGCAACACATTCTACAGCCATGGGGGCTGCTGTTAAAGATCACTCAGAAACTTCAACTAGTGCAGAATGCAATGTGCACACAGTTCAGGGTGCCCTGTGGTTTGCCCATGTTGCACAGCTGTTGCACTAGCTCCCGATTTCTTTCTGGGTACAATTCAAGGTGCTGGTCATTACCTTTAAAGCCCTGTATGTCACAGGGCTAGGTTATCTACAGGACCTCTTCTCCTACTAGGTTGCATATGGTGGATTAGCTCCAGATCCCCTCTTAAATGTTGCCATCTGGTGGGACCTAGGAAGCAAGCTTTTCCATAGCTGCACTTACCTTGTGGAAGAGCCTCCTCCCTGATGTGCAGAGGGCTCCTGCTCTCCTTGCATTCTGGAAAGCTGTTAAGACCTGGCTTTTCCCTCAGGCCTTGGGTCAGGAGAGGGGAGCCCAGCATTTGTGGTTTTGTGATGGGATTATTATAGTGCTTGGGGGTATGAGAGGGTTTTTAATTTTTTTTTAAATTTTGTTATCTGTATATCTGTGGTTAGCCACCCAGAGTTATTTTATATAATATGAATAAGTTTTTAAAAGGAAATAATAATCTTATTATTTCTTTAAAAGGAAATAATAATCTTCCTTTTAAAAACTTATTCATTTATTTAAAATATTTGTATGGCCACCCATATTTTAAAAGGAAGATTATTATTTATGGCCATGCAAATAATCTATTTTAATTAATTATTATTAATAAAATATAAATTATAGCTGGCACAAGGTAGTCAAAATGAACCATTTCCTTATAACATTTAGCCATTCCTTTCATAACAAGAACATATAATTATATAACACGAGCATCACTTGCTATTGAAATAGAAGTGTTGTGACATCATATAAATGGAGTACTGCAAATACTCAGTAAGCAAGCCACTCTTTGTACAGTACAAGGCTTTTTAGAGATGTAAGTCTGAATACAAGTTGCAAGTCTGTGGAGACACATTAGATCTATACTCATACTAAAAGTTGGACTTGTAAGGTAAACATTTAGCAATAGGTGGCTTGTTTCAAGAATGATAAGCAACAGACAGACTTTTTAAAAACCAAAAGGATAAACTAGTTAGTTTTCAAGGGAGGACAACTCTTTGGATGATATGGATATATATTCTCCTGCTATTTCATTATTTTCATTCAATATACAATCCTGGGTTAATTTAGAAATTATCTCCTCCAAATATATTCTGCCTGCTCTGTGCAATCATTGAGCCAAGGGGATGCTTAGCACCCTGGAAGCAGGATGTGAATTCCAAAGTAGACTATCACTATGGTAGCCCTGTCTTTTGGAACTATTTGCCCACAAACATGCACTTGGCTACTGACTTACTTAAACAACTTTAAGTTAAAATGATATTGTTCAAGCTAGCTGTTGAATTTTAGTAAAGTTGTTGGGCTGCCTTTTTGGGGGGAAGGTCTGGATTGTATCTGTTAATCCAAGTTTGATAGTAAAGGTGTTTTTGTGTTCTATATTTCATAGGATTTTTGCATTATACTTTGTTTGTAAATCCCACCTGGAATCTTGGAAAAGGAGCAATATATAAATAAATGAAACAAATGAATCTTTGAAAAGGAGCAATATATAAATAAATGAAACAAAGTACTGCTGCTAGCAATACCTCCAGATATGTGTTACTTTTAAGTTGCTAACGGTGGTGAGAATTTATACACAGGATATTTAGATGCTGACCTCCAAATGTACCTCCACTACTTTGCCTATTGTATTTACCTGGGGGGCAGCTAGGTGGTTACAGTGGGAAAGTGAGTATCAGATTTTTCATCTAACCCTGAAGCACTCTTCCTGTGTACTTATGACAGCTGATGATATTGCATTCAAAATCTAGCCTCAGAGATTTACATATGTGCACATTTGAAGGGATACAAAGTTTTGGAAGCTTTTATAACATACACTGCTTTCTAAGTCCATGTTTTTACTACATCTGAAAAGGATTGAGATTCTATGCTTTTAACGGTTGTATAACAACTGAAGGTTTTCAGATACTGATTTATCTGCTGATTTCTGGTATTATACTTTGTACTATCCCATTTTATTATTATATTTTATTGTATCATGGATTTTGTGTATTAGTTGTTTCACCTTTGCTGATGTTTCTTATTCTTGTTGATATGGTTGTAAGACTAATCAATAAAGTTGAAAGTTGCTGATTTCTGCCTACTTTTGTTGACAGCAGTCTTTGTCCCATAAGAAGAGACAATGGGCTATTTTTTCCAATGCGTTTCCTGAATTTTCAAACAACATGCAAAAACTTTCCTGATATAATAATATGGAAAAATCTTCCCAGTTGGCTTTTCCTTGTTAGATGTTCACTAGGAAAAACCAGAGACATTCCTTTTGGGACTGATGGATAAACAATTCAAAAAAGTTCATGGACTATATATAACTGGAGCTAGACTTTTATATGCTCAAAGGTGGAAAGATTAAACGTTACCTACAATGGAAAAATGAATGGTGAAGTTAACGGAATTAACCGAGATGGTGAAATTGACAGCTTTGCTTAGAGAAAAAACATTAACTTTAATGCCAATTGGAAGCCCCTTTTGGACTTTTTGCAGGGAACAGAAAAAAATGAAATTATGATATATGGATTTGATGATTAAATTAATAGCTTATACAAAATATGTATGTTAAGATGTGGTTTTAGAGTAAGAGGTTATTATATGATTCATTTATATCTGCTGTATAAGAAGTCAGAAGTTATTCTTTTTGTATTTCTTTTTCCTTTTTCTTCTCTATTTTCCACCAGTTTTGTTTTCTCTATTTCTAACTTTCTTGCTTTCTACTCTTCTTGGCTATTAGTTCTTGTTAGTTTTTATCCTTTTGCTTTTTAAAACTTAATAAAGTTCTTTAAAAAAAAATGGTCACTAGGAAGACATTTAGAGTAGTTATCTTCTTGCCTGAACAGTCATAGTTGTTAATTGAATTATGATTTATTCAATTCCATTTTCTGGGTTCATATTACACACTGATTAATAAATCTACCACATCAGCAGGATTCACACAACCTACTAGGCTAAAACATGATTACTAATGTATGATTCAGTGTGCTGTGCAAATACAAACTGTGTGCATTTAGCAGCAGCTGCCCAAAGCATCTCCATGTTGGGGAAAATGCCAGTAGCTCTGTAACATTGTTATTAACAAATAACATGCCCAAACATTGTTTTTTCAAAAATGATCTGGTCAGAGAAAATGTGGCATTTATTTCAATGAATCTTGCATCATTGCATCACTAACAAGGCCACAATGTTTACTTATTAAATTTGTACACCACCCAGACTCCCAACGACTGGGTGGTTAGAATGCCCATTCATGTCTATGCAATCAAAATACTTAAGGTATGAGAAGTCTAGTTAGAAACATGGGATTTTAATATTTACCTTGGTCCAGATGCCAAGCTTAAAATAAGGACATCTACAGTAAAACCTGGTTATTAACTGTGCTTAAAGTGCTCCATCTTAACTAATTTGTCCTGTGGTCTGGGTGCAGACCAATGTGCATATCATGGGAATGCAGCTAGAGAAACCCTACCGTAGGTCTGCGTTCACAGTCTTATCAGGGAGTTGCATATAGATCAGTTTAATAAACTTATTATGCAACCAATATCTTGAAAGAAGAGAGGATTGCCTAGTTAGTGTTAGGAATCAGTAATGTGTTAGGAATTAGAAAGAGATTGAAAATAAACATCCTTGGGTCACCGATGAAAGTTATCTCCAAATTCCAGAAATCCACAAAGCATAACAAGACTTCTAAATATGACAGCAGGAAATCCTTCCATCAGAAAACCACTTGAATTCATCAGTCAACAGGGTGAATAATAAATTACTATTATGAAGTTGCTACCTGGTCAGATTTAAAATGACAAGTATCTGCTCATGAGAAGGAAGTTCTACCAAGTCTTTTAGCTAAGAAAACAGGAAATATAATGAATATTTTAGAATTATGCAGTGTAAGAAATGTGGATATGATAGGCAGAGGGGATTTTTTTTAATGTGATGCCTACTATAGTTTTCATGTTTCCTATCTCAGAATGGTAGGAAGCTGTGCAGTCAAATTTCAGTAACCTTACAGGGGCATCCCCCCTTTTCTCCTGCTCTAACAATAGAATGCATTTAGCACTAACTATCAAAATTACTGTGCAATTAGCCTTTATGGGTATGAGAGAAGAAAAAAAGACCACAACTATGGGAAAACAAACAAGGATTGCAAGAGGAAAGTGATGGTCAACATAAAATTTATGAAAGGAGAGCAAGATGAACATTCTCAGAGTTAGGTTTTTAAGTATGTGTTTCAAGCCTGTTCATGACAGTTACCCAGAATAGCTAATTTCCATGTTTTAGGCTGTGTTCTGATCTGTTTAGTAGGACTCTTTGTCTTTTTATCCAATAACCTATAATTAGGGCTGTTACACATAGAACTTTATACTCTGTGCCAGGTATAAAACCAGCCTTGCATCTGATCTATCAGCAAGGCTCTTATGTCGAAGATAAACACAGAAAGCATAAAGAAAGCTATCAGATGAAAACTCCATCATTTTCAAGCAGGAAGGGAAACAGCACACCTGGATAGCGGGCTGCATTTGGCTAGAATTACAGACTTTGTGAGAACCTAAATTTTCCATTATGCTCGGTCGGAAGCGGCTCTGGGAAAACTCGTATAAATCTCCTGCGGAGAGGGGGATATTAATCGGAGAAGCGTCCGAACAAATGTTCCTTATAGAAAGTACAGCGCCACTGGAAAAAGACTGCAAGGGATGAGACAACACCGCTATCACCGGGGCGAGAAGGGTGTGGTTTGGCCGAGGAAGTTCCGGGCAGCCTCTTCGGCGCCTCCGCCGCGCCTCCTGGCGGCCACTTCAGCGGCTTGCTTCGGCTCCCTTCAGCCAAGGGCCCCGTTGCCAGTTTAATTGCAGTCGCGGCCGCGGCGAAGGAGGCGCCGAGCGCTCCCGCCCTCCTCCTGCCTGCAACTCCCCCTCCACTGTTTCCCTGCGAGTTGACTCGGCACTGTACGCGCAGAGCCTGAACCCGGGCCCGTCCCGCTCGTCCCGCCGCCGTCATGGACATGAAGAAGCGGATCCACTTGGAGTTACGAAACCGGACCCCGCCGGATGTAAGCCTGGGCGGGAAAATGGGAAGCCGGGGACGTCCGCCCTTTTCATCAGCTCGTTCTCTCGCCATCTCTACACGCGCACACCGGCCCGGGGAAAGCGAGCTGGTTTTAAATTTAAAGCTCTGAGGGGAGGGCAGTTGAATGAGCGCGGAGGGCGGCCATTGCCAATCCGCGGGCGAGGCCAGGAAGCGCCGCAGCTGCGACTGTAGGGGAAAACATGCGCCTGACGGACTCGAGAAGGGACTCCGTGGCCGCCATGTTGTTCCGCTGCTGCGTCGGTCCTGCGAGCGTGGGCTGCCCCTGCAGAGGGGCGGATGGTGCTCCGCGTGCGCGCGGCAGCCACCGCGTCCGCCTCATCTGCCGTCCGCGGCGCGCGGTTCTCTCCCTCTTAAACGGGCAACCGTCGCGTAGAAGGGGCGCGCGCTCTTTCTTGACGCCGCGTCCGGTGCTTCTGGCCGTGCGCGCGCGCTCGGGCCTTCGCGCCTGTCTATTCTCCCCTTTAAACGGACCACAGCTGCAAAGTGCTGGGCGCGCGCTCCCTCTTTATTCCGCTCCCCACCAAATTGTATTCCCGCCAAAAACTCTCTTCACCCACCCTGAATAAGCTGAAGGTGTTTTCCAGCCAAATTTAAGCTCTGATGATCTCCGTGGAAGAATTTGAGAGAATTGTAATGAAGCATTTCCAGTTACAACGCTCTCAAGTTGGCTTCAAAGGGCTTTTGTAGCGCAAAATATAACAAAATATTTTGCAGTCTGATTTTTAAAAGCAGTAAAGGAGGCGGGTAGATATTTTAATACCATAAAAAACATACTTTAGACTTTAATGGGTACCTTACAATGGCGATTGGACCAGAAAAATATGTTCATACTTTGAAGCCGTTCTATTTAGATTATTCTTAAATTAAATTGGACCACTATCGGTAAAGATTTTGTTAAAAGGAAAATCAGAGGTTTTCCTGGTTTTTAATATTCTGCCTATGGTTTCCTGTCATATCTAAGCTTCAGCCATGCTGTTGCTTCTGTTTTTTTTAACCCTTCTTATATTTTCTCAACAGTCCTTATCATATGTACCCTTATGCCAGAAAAACAGAAAAAGTGAAACAAGTTTCACTTGTTTATTTTAAAGCAGAAACAATAAGTTGTAGATGTGCCTCTCATGTTCTGCTAAAATACCTGTCTGCCTAAAAGTACGAACAAGAAAAATCTTGAAGCGGCACAGTATCCCAGTGGATAATGCAAATACCTGTACTCTATACTGTAAGTTTAAATCTGCTGAGCTTTTGGCTTTTTAACCAGCTAAAGTGGAGGCCATTTCTGGCAGGTATCTTACAATCAACCCCAATCTGTTACTGTATTATACATCTGTCAGCCCAAGGCAGTTTCAAGCCTGCTCAAGAGCTTGTACTCTTTTAAACTTAGGAAGCAGTAAGAGTCTGTAGTCACCTTGTTTAATGATGATTTTTTCCTTCACATATATACACTTTGAAGAGATGAATGACACTAGCTTTCTTTAACATGATATGCTTGCCTGTGGTTAACTTATGAGTTTTTTTTCAACTCTGAAGTATAATGGGAACACTATGTATACCACCTTGAATTGTACAAAAAATGGTGGAATATACATCTAATAAACTAAATTGCATGGACTGAGTTTGTATAACATGGTAGGCTAAAATGTGATTTTGTTGATTAGTAATTCAGCCACTGCCATGTCCCTTTTAAGGCCCTTAAAAAAAGTGGATGGCTTTTTAAATATGAAAGTATATTTAGAGAATTTGCCAAATTATTTATTTTAAAGTGTAATAGACTATAATTAAAGTGGTACAGATAATATATTGCTAATGTTTATATAAACATTGCTCACATAATCATTTGTAAACATGGGAAGTAGAACTGCATTTACAATTCTGTACAACTATTGCATGTATTTAAGCACTTTTGGTAGAAGTTGACTAAAAAGATCAATAAGTATTTATTTGGAGTCTCTAGTAAAGGACAAACTACTCCTTCCTCTTTACGCTGATAAATTTATAAGCTTAGTACAAGATGCATTATCATATTACAAATTTTGAAAATACTTTGTTAAGAAACCGATTATGAGAGTATACTATGTAATCTATGTGCTGATTTAGCAGTTTGAAAAGTACATGTTGTATTAATTACGTCCTTAGTACTGAATTTGGCCTCTGTTAAAATTGCTTTGAAAGCTTACTCAGAACACACAAGCAGGTGGTCTTGTTTTAATTTCATAAAAATTACTTGACTAGAAAAAGGAACATGAATTGAATTGTTTGTTCCTATCTGCTAAAATAAATAGGAAGTATATAATGCTAACAGTTGAAAGGCAGTCAATTCTGCATTATATTTGAATAGTGGATAAGTTTTTAAAATAACGGTAGCAGTAAGGATAGCAAACAAATATTATAGCTGGACATCTTTTGTGGTTCCAGTTCTTTTTATTATGAACTCACTGCAGAATTATCTATGCAGAGACTTGCATTCTGCTATAATACTAGACAACCCTTGGGGTTGGACCAAGTTTGGCATGACCAGATAAAATCCCTAATATGCCTTCTTTTAGAGGGAAGATGCTTGCTGATTTTCACAATTAAGTAGTGTGGCTGCAAAAGTTGTTGCTTGTATTGGTTAGGAATAGAATAGTATTGTTTTACCAGATTGTCACTGCTGGGCAAGAATGGGGAAAGTTACTTATTGGAATTAAAGTGTATTTTAAATGAATTGATATGAAATGAAGCTTCTGCTTCAATAATAAAGCTATGAGCTAGATTGTTTTATTAAGAACTTTCTGGAAGCAAACATCTCCAATACATTCTTAATTTCCAAATTATCTCATCTCTTATTTCTTAATTGTTTTAGATGTCTGTTTTGTATAGCAACATGCAAATTAGTAAATTGGGTCTCTGCGTGTTTTCTTTTAACTTCAAGTGCAACGTCCTTCATAATAAGAGGAAAGTAGCCTGCTGCATAGTAAAAGGAATGGACCAAATTGATTTTTATGTAGCTAGAAATAAATGGCTTTAAATTACAAGAGCATGCAAGCCAAAATGAAGTAATAGTTTTTACACATTCCTTACTATAATTGCTAAGTTTATCTAAGAACTAAGCAGCAGTCCTAAAATCTTTCAATAGGAAGTAAGTTCTATTGGACGAATGAGGAATGTTCCCAAGTAGAGAGATGAGATTGTACTTTAAACCTGTTTGATTATAACTTGGTGCAAGATTGTAGCCCAAGAATTATGCGTTTTTGTTATCCATTGTAGTTTAGAAATCCAGAGTATAATCCATATAGAGTTTTTTAAATTTCTCAACTAACTACACTGTCTTGGAAAGCCTAATTCTCCATTGTATTGTTGAAGGCTTTCATGGCCAGAATACGATGGCTGGTGTGGGTCTTCCGGGCTGTGTGGCCGTGTTCTGGAAGCAGTGCTCTCTGTGCCCAGCTCCTGTCTGTGCTCCTGCCCTCTGAAGATGCCGGTCACAGAT